TGCCCAAATTTCCCCTCCTGCTTTAAGGTATCTTTAGGGCACGGGAGGGAAGCAGAGGCAATCGTGGGCAGCCGAGCCCAGCAGCCTTCACTGGCACCCACAGCCTGCGCTTGGGTGCACGGGAGTCTCTGCTGCATAAAACCCATCCGGGAAGACCCCGGTCCTGCAAGTCCCTGGGAGCAGGTTTTGTAGCCCCACACAGTGATCTGCCAGCAGCAGCTCACGTGTGCAGCGTTTATCTTGCAGCCAAATTTAGGACGAGCCCAATGTCCCTTCCAGCAAGCCAAGGGCGCTCAGCCTCCCATTCCCTGCAGCAGGGAAGCCTCTTTCCGGAGGGACAAAAAAAAACCCCCGATGGCACGATCCTGGGACGCAGGAGGGTGATGTTTTGGGACCAGAGGTAGGATCTGGGGCTGGTGAGGAGGCACTAAGGCCAAAAGGCTTCCCAGCTGCTTGCAGGCGAGCTGGTGCATGCAGTCAGCAATCTTGGCGTCTGTCCTGACCCATCCGCTGCTCCTCTCCTCCCTTAACTCAGCACCGTAGCTGAGAAAAGCCCCCTGAAGCCATGTCCCATTGAGTGGGGTCAGCCCTCGCAGAGGGGGGATGGAGGGAGGGATGGGTGGGGGGATGGAGGAGCAGAGTGAAGCAGTGGCTGGTTCAGGCTGGGCCGGGCTCTCCCCTTTCTTTGGATGCCACCTGGTGACCGAAAGCTACAGGGACCGGGTGCAGTCCTACCGACCTGATGAGGAGGTCCCGCAGGTAGGCGAACTCACAGTGTGTCGTGTTCTCCACTGGTAGGAAGAGAGAGAAACCCATCAGCGTGCACTCGCGGCAGGAGGATGGCAACCACTGGGGGTAGAGAGGGACCTACGGGGCTTCACTGGCATGTGGAGGGCTGAGATGGGGGTTACCCCGGGGGCTACAGGGTGCAGGACTCAAGAGTCCTCTTTGCTGCTGTAAGGCTGGTACCCAGGTACCCACCCCAGCTCAGCACGGCCAACTGGCTGGTGAGGTCTCACTGAGCATTCCCAGTCCCTTCCAACCGCGTCCCACCAAACAAGGGAGCTCCCAGCAGCATCCCCCACCGCAACATCCCCTTCAGACCAACACAAGCTGAAACGGGCCCCAAACAAGGCATGGAAAGGGACAGGGTGAGCTTTGCAGTGAGCACCAGGCACGGCTCCACAGACGCGTTTCATCTATAGCTTCACCCCGAGCATCCTGTGGCATCCCAGGCACGTCGGTGACTGCTGCCCGGGTTGCCGGTGCTGTGGAAGGATGCAAAATCTTGCTGACGAGGGCTACCGCTGTCTGAACAGGGCTTGGAGCAAGGAGGAGTGTTTGCAAGAGGGAAAAAATCAAAGGGTGTTGCTCCACCACAATTAATCTGACAGCTCGCAGTTTACCAGGCATTTGAATTTAGAGGACCAACTCTCTTCTTTGATTTTTTTTTTTTTTTTACCCCAAACAGGCTTGTACATCATACAGAAATGGCAAGACAACAAATAAGGCTGTTCTGCAGAGGCTGCCCTTGGCCGTGGCTGGATCCCAGGGTCTCCCCGTGCTGAAAGCAGATGCCACGCGCGGAAGGCGAGTGGTTTAATGAAGCCCATTAAAGTCAGAGCTTCCAGGGACAGAGCACAAGAGGGCAGCAGAGCTTTAAAATACACGGATTTTCCTGGCATGACGGTTAAGCCATCCCTCAACACAGGATTCCTATTAAAGACTCATAAATAAGAGAAACCTATGAAATGAAGGGGAGGAAGAAAAGAGGGGTGGCACTGGAGATGTATCGTGGCTGCCAGAAACCAGGGACATGGAAACGTGTAGATGTGCTGGAGCCAGGAGTTTTCATCCTGCCTTTAAACCATGATTTAAAATGGGGGAGAAAAAAGGAAAGTGCCGATGGGATGAAAATGGAAGAGGGAAGAGATCCCTCGAGGGCACCAACCAAATGGTGGAGGGTACCGATGCCAGGGGAAGGTTCTAATCTGGGCTTGAGACACAGACATGTCACTCGTGTGCCCTCACATCCAGCCATGAGGCATTTAACTGTGTGACCAGCAGAAGCCAGGCCAGAGGGGATGACAAGACACCCAGTAGTGTCCCCTCCGGGACTCAGCAGCCCCCCCGAGGCGCACAAAGGCCCAGGAACTCAGTGCAGGAGCATTGGCCAAGGTGTTTCCAGTCCCCAAACACCGGGGAAGTGGTTTTCTTTGAAGGGGCAGGGAAGTACTATATAGACCTCGAATTCTACTGCTGGTTTTGGACCTCATCACCTTCTGTCAGGGCAGGGAGATGGGCTCAGGAGGCAGGGAAACAAGGATGAGGTACCTTCAATGGTGCCCCACTTGGTCTTCCTTCCAAGGATTCTTCTTCCATTAACCTGGTATTCCTGGTCACTGCCCACCACTGCAAACGGGATCATTTCCTGATGAAACAGAAAACCAAGGTTATATTTTCCTCCTGAAAACCCATCAGGAAACCAGGCTGGTGAGCTAAGTCCTACATCAAGCTGTTTTCAGGAGAGTTTCATGGGATGAGCTGGTCTGTCCCTGATGCTCCCAAGCAGCGTTGCCTGCCAGGGACCGCAGGCAGCTCAGAACCCAGGCAGCAGCATCTCTTGCACATGTGCCCAGTCCTAAACCAGTCTAAAACCAGCCCCAAACCAGTCTAGCCCAGCTCATTGGCAGGCACCAGCGCATAGTCAGGGCAAAGGTATCGTGATGCTTCCCTGGGAATCGTCCCCAGCACCTGTCAGCCTGTGGCTCGGTGATCCAAGGTGGTGTCTTTGTACTTAGAGTCCCTAAAAGACGTTTTTCTTCCTTGAATTTGTCCAATCTACTCTTTTGAGTCAACAAACCGTCAGCTACTTCCTATGGCAAGGAACTGACAGCCATGAAAGCAGAGCAGCCTACGGGCAGATTACCTCCAGGTGCCGGGAAGGCTGCTCCCCTAGCCAGGGCTGGACAGACCCCGGCACTCCCTGGGGCAGGGCGAGGGGCCACAGGACCCTGCCCGCTGGGTGCTGAGGGCACCTGTGAGGAACGGTGCTGGGAGAAGGAACAGAGGACACCTTCCCCAGGTACCCTCCTCGCCCTCTTTCTGTCCCTGGTCTGAGCTCTGGCAGGATCCTTGGTCCTGGGCAGACCCCCTGGACAGGGGCACAGCAGCTTTGGGAAGAAAATAGGGGCATTTTGCCAGAGACCCCCCAGGACATCACCAGCACCCAGAGCTGCAGGGCCCATCCAAACACGTCCAACCCACACCAGCACACACTAACCCTGAATTTCTCGTTCACTAGCCGATCTTCAGAGTCTTCATCAAACTCCTTCTGAGGATACACGTCGATCCCATTGGCAAGAAGATCGGCCATTATCTAGGAGAGAAGAGCAGAGGAACATGTGAAGGAGACACGGGCAGAGGAGCTGCGCTCCCACCATGACGGCAGCTCCCAGCCACCCAAGAGGCTCTCGTGAGCAATGCCCAGCAGCAACATCTCCCCTCTCCATCCTAAACGCTGCCCACCTTGGGGAGAGAGGCCTCTGGTCAACTGCTGCGCACCTACCAAGCGCTTGCCCTCCAATCTCTGCGAGAACCTGGTGCCAAGACACGGTTCAGGCTGAGCGAGATGAAGTTATATGAGCTGGGCGTTGCTTTGGGATCGCTAAAGATAGTAAGACAATACAAGCTGGACCAAGCAATGGGGAATGGAGCTGCCAGGCACGTAACCCAAAGTTAAGTTGCTTTCTGGTGTCTGCTTACGCTCCTTGGAAAAGGAGTTGCAGCAGTACGTGATCTGAAGGGACAGGGACGCAGACAGTTTGGAAGAGCAGCCTCTAAGGATATTGCCTCTCTGCAAGGGAAAATCTGATTCCCGGGTGGAGGCTCAGCTCACGGGGAGCACGGAGGATCAGCCTTCTCCAACAAAGCTGCAAACCCAAAGCCAGCCTGCGTGCCTGCTCCCATCGCTTCCTATGGCAATGAACTCCTCTGCATCAGCCCGACGTTGCAGGCTGGCAAAGGAAGCGGATCCAGCCCAGAGAAACCCCCCAGCTGGCATCCCACCCCCCAGCCAAACCCACACACTATTTTTAGGGGAACAACCCAACAAAGCCAACTCCGCAGGGCACAGGAGGCCTTTCAACTAACTCAGTGCAGCGCTGGCATCAATCTCGGCAGCCTGCAGCCAGGCTGGTGCTTCACCATCCCCTGCCCACCCCGATCCAAACCCCAAAACCTATCGTCTCTCCGACACAGCTACACCCCCAGATGCAGCTGGGGCTCTGCTTTCTGCGAGTACGCACGCAGGCGTGCTGGGGCAAAGGGAAAAGGTCCCGGTCTGTGCCCACCCGGCCCGGGTACCTGCCCTCCCGTTTGCACCAGAGCATCTGGAGCTGTGAGCGTAAGGAGGGCGAGCCCCTTGCAGAAGGGGCACTGCAAGCACACCATGTGGCTACATGTTCTCCCTCCGTCTGGAAGGATTTCGGGGGTCTGGTTACAATCAGGAACGCAATTAGAGACAGGGCGAGCCCATCCTGCCGACGAGCCGGTGCAGAGTGGGCGAGCCAGGTGGTCTCCCCGTGCTCTTTTATTACACAAGGATGGCGTCAGCAGCCAACAGTGCCCAGGTGACATTTTAGGTCCCAGACTGACTTTGTGGTCCCAGAGCCAGCCAGCCACCCGCAGGCACACGGATCCGTGCGCTCGTAACTTCCGAACGGAGCCAGCAGTCTGCAAAAGCCAATGCAGAGAGCAGACGTGGCACCGTGGACTCTCCCCACCACCCTCCTGCCCAGCTCCTCGCAGATCTCCGTGCAAGCAGGCTGACAGGCTGGTCAAGCCCAGCCTGGATTATCTCTGGGCTCCATTTCCAGCCATCGTCCAGCTCGCTGCAAAGGGAACCACGTGCAGAGTTTGGATTCAGCCCCCCAAACCAGACTGGCTATCTCAGTGCCTGCCCCTGCTCATCCCTAACTGGGAAGACACTGGTGTCGGATGGGGTGGCTCATCTTCTGCACGGAGACATCGAACAACCCCTGGCTAATGTGCCATCCTCTCCATAACCACTGAAGGTGGCCCCTAAAACTGCCCTCTTGGCAACACCCCCTTTCCCTTCGCTTTGCTTCCCTGCGGTTCAGACTCATGGACCAACGATGTTGGTGGCTTGCTCGCTCCTGCAGGCAATGCTGAGGCCATCACGCCTGCAGCCACGTCCGTCAGCTACACAAAGGGATTTACAGCCCCTTACCGAACCCCAAAGCGGGGCATCTCCACCTCTCGGCAGCACCAGGCACGTGTGCACAGAGGAAAGCCCACGCCTGGCTGTGGATTCAGACAGCCCCTCCTCAGCTCCCCACCGCCAGCCCCCAACCAAGGGAATTTCATGCCTTGCTTCCCCCATAAATCTTACCCAGCTGAGCTCAGCAAACCCACACTTTTTTTTTTTTTTTTTTCCTGCTTCCTGTATCGAAAAAGAAATAAAGTTCCTAATTATTGGGTTCGATGCCGTAAAGGAAAGGTTTCCCAGCCTCTGTGCACCATCTACCTCCCAAAATAACAGAAACCAGCCTGAAAATAACAACAACAATAACAAAGGAGGCAGGAGAAACAAACCTCGAGACTTAGAGCTCAAAACTTATCCTGCACTGACAAAGATCCAAGAGAAACACAAGGAACTGCTTGGAGCGCAGGCTTTTCCTCCGGCCACGTGGGATCGCTCAGAGCTGCAGCCGGAGGAATGCGCCGGCCTCCGGGCCAGGCACTCGCCTTCCCAGCCCTGCCGGGGGAAGGCAGGGGGAGCAGGGAGGGGGAAAGGGGCACGAGGGGATGGGGGACAAGAGATGGGAGCCCCGATAAGAGCCGCCAGCCCCTTACCCTTTGTTTGAAATAGTCCCTCTCCTCCAGCGTTAACGTGTCGGCTTTTGCAATCACCGGGACGATGTTGACCACTTTGCTCAGGCGTTTCATGAACTCGATGTCTAGCGGTCGGAGCCTGAAAAATACAGCAGAAAAAAGGGGATTCGCACACCGACAGTGAGGCAGGGGCTGCTGCAAGTCCTTTCAGATAGAAAAAATAAAGACTTTTTCTTAAAAGCATGACAGCACGCATCCGTCTCAGAGGCGGTTTGCAGACCTTAAACGCTTAAAACGTTTCCCCTTCAAAGTGCCCCGCTATCGCCTGCAAACCCTCGCAAAGCCCCGTGAAGCGGGAGAGGGCTTTTATCTCTGCACGGATGCTCGGCCACAGAGGACTGCGGGAACTTGCCCAAAGCTACACGTGTCCTTGGTTAAGCCGGGACGAGAGCACGGGCAACGTCGGCTGCGGGGCCAGCCTGCCCGCGATGTACGAATCAAAGCTGGGGAGAGACCACGGTGTGAGACCTCCGTCAGCCCTATCCAAGCTGTCACCCACGATGTGGAAACGGCCACGGGTGACTGTTCCTGCTCACACTCCCTCCTGTGCTGAGCACCTAGCCTGCTGTCGTGCATGAGCCAGGATTGCATCTCGCATCCATCAGTCGGGATTAAAAAAGGTTCTGCTGATTCTCCAGGGGCTCACACGGCACAGAAGAGAGGCTGCTTGTTCCAGAGGGCAAAAAATGTCAGAAAATCTCTGCAACAAAAGTCTCAGCAGAGGAAAGCTGCAGAGATTGCGTAACCCCAAGGATCAGCCCCTCGGGAAATCCCTCCCTGCTAAAGGCTCCCGCTGACAGCGGGGATGTGACCTCCGGTGCCACGCTGCTCCGTGTCCGAGGGCTGCGGTCCAGCCGCAGACAAGGATGAGGGCGCATGGCCGTCACCCTCCCTCGCTCCTCAGTCCTCCCCGAAGGTGTTCTTACTGCTGGGGGTTCCCAAGCCAGCCAGAGGAAAGCCCTCCTTGGGACACCTCCTCTTGCTGCAGGTCCCCCTCGGTGGCTCTGGAGGCGACGGGGACACACACCCATGGAGGTCAGTTGAGCAGATGTTGCCCTGAAAAAGGAAACCCAGAGGTCCCAGGGGACACCAGGGCGCAGGAACACCTTCGGGGTGCTCATGCATTAAGGAGCCTGTTGGAAATGAGCCCTCGCTGAAAGCATGCAGGGAGGGGGGCAGCAAGGCCAACAGCGGAGCCCCAAAAGCGAAGGGACACCTCTGCCACTTGCACATCCTTGTGACCTCCAGCGCCAGCAGGACCCGACCCGACTCATCTTTGGTGAAACTGGGGCAGAGAGAGGTGAAGCCACCTTTCGGAGGAGCTGTAGGCTTCAGCGGCAGAGCTGGGGCCAAGAGCGAGGCCCTGGCAATGGGGAAGAAACCAAAATAAATGGGACAGTGACTTAAAAAGCCCAGGCGCGCGCAGGAGTCCCGCGTGGAGGAGCACGGAGCAGAGCAGAGGGCTTGGGAAGAACACGGCCAAGAGAGAACCTACTGCCAATGTGCTCACGCCAAACCCCACCGTGGTCTTCTTGGGCCCTACAAAGGGCTCAGAGACTCCTGCAGACCCACCACGGCTTCTGCAAACTTAGCAAGAGTCACACAAGTGCAAAGGGGAAGGGGCAGATCCTGCTCCTCAGCAGTCACCAGGCTGCATCCCCACCCTGCAAGGCCACCCCTGCCTGGCTCCAGTGCTGAGGGCACCCCAGAGGGACATCCAGCCCCGGAGAGACCCGCTCAGCTCCGCCTGATCCAAAAATAGCAGCCCAAGGCTGCTCCAGTGCAACCAGCACCGGTGAAGCCAGCTGAGCCCTTCCCTGGTCAAACCTGGTCCCATCCCAGGGATCGGGCTGGACCACGCCATGCCGACCTTCTCCCCGCACGCCAACGGCACGCACAGCCCAGAGCGCATCGTTAGCATGAGGACAAACGAGTTCCTAACACAGACTCAGGAGTTACAGCTCACCCTGGGCCCCAGGAAAGAAAGAGTTTGGCTATTAAAAAAGAAAAAAAAAAAGAAAGAAAAGAAAAAAACATAAGGAAACCCCCATGGACACATCTAAGCAGACTTGCTGCTGGCGAACATTGTTTGGAGCTCTGCATAATGTATTTCCCAGACCTCCAAGGAAGCAATGCAGTTATGTTCCTTTCCCAGCAGACTTCTTTCCCCTCCTCTCTCTTTGCTATTTTTCAAACAATTTTTCCCCTCTAAAAGCCTCTTCCCTACTGAGACTATATTCCTGCCTCTTTCATCAGCTCTTCTTTTAGAGTGAAGACTGGGATGCACATGTAAGCTGATGCAGATGGATTCACAATCAGCCAGGCATCTGAGTTTCAGCTCGACTGACACGGAAGAGCCCCGTCACCGAGCCCTCACCGATACCTGGAGGATGCCGGCGGTGAGCAGGAGGCAGAGCCAGCCCACACCCCTGCTCGTGCCCACCAGCACCCAGGCAGGCACAGCGACCGTGTCCCACACCGGTCTGGACCCAAAGCCAGAAGAGCCCCAGGCACCTTTGACGCAACTTTCTGCTCCGATGGGCCTCGTCCATGGAGGCCACCTCCCATGATCACATCCCTGCACCATCCTGGAGAAGAGGAAGGGAACCAAGGGACTCCCCAGAAGAGCAAACTCCATGTTTTTAGGATATTTTGCAAGTTTCTAGATATTCAAAAGGTAGCCCCAAAAAACGTTAAGTGTTTAAAAGAAAGTGATTCTTTTCACTAAGAACAAGACCTGTCGCTAGACGTCACGTTCACATGAAGACACCAAAGGAGAACAAATGGCTTAAGGCGATCAGGAGTGCAGAGCTTGATTTGCACTAACAGCCCTGTACGGACCCAGGCAGAAACTGCCAAGGTCACGACGGGCCAAGCCCAGACCTAATTCCTGTTAAACTCCCGCTGCAAGGCACAGCCCAGGACAGCAGGGACTTCTGCTGGTATCTGCAGGGACCAGTTTTGGAGTTTAACCACCACCAGTCCGTGACAAGCCACAGGCACAGCAGTGCTGGCCTCCGCCGGGTATCTGAACTTGGTTCACCTGCACAAAACATCGACGCCAGCACCTGGCGAGGATTAGCAGTGAAATCCTTAAATATACGAACATGCAAAACAGCAAGAGAAAGCCAGTTATTTCATTTCAGGTGCATGTAATCTGCTCCAAGCAGGTCACGAAAGAGAGGGTAGAGCTCAAGAAGAAAAAAAAAAAAGTCTGTTTTCTTCCCCTTCCCCAAACGGTCTCCGATATTAATAACTTGCAACTAGACACGTACACACTTTGGGCTTTGCTGGGAGGGGCTGGAGGAGCTCTAAGGGGAGTGGATGGGCTGGAGCAGGAGATGCAGGAAGGGCTCCAGCCCACCCTGGATGGTGCTGGTTGCTCCCCCATCCTCTCTTGCTATGGGGCCGGGGAAAGCAGAGCGGCTGGGGACATGTTATTTCTGCATTGCCTGCAGCCCCCACGCACGGACAGGATCTGAACAGAGACTCATTTCTGCTGGTTCCCTTGAAATGCCATTATAAGAATGAAAATTCACGGCGAGCTGCAGAGTTATTTCCTTTTGGTTGTGCCCCAGATCAAACTAACAGCAAGAATTTGAGACGTGCATTAAGCAAACACCAGCCCCATCACCAGGACCCGTCAGCCTGTCGAGGGACCTGGGGGGCACCCGAGGGGGGCAGCTAGCGGGGAAAGGGGCAGCGGGTGGCGGTCCGTCAGGCAACAGCTCTGGTACAGGCAGAACAGGGGCTGCCGAGGCCGGGGCGGTGTTGCCGAGTCCCGTTTCAGAGCCGAGCGGTGCTTCACAGGGGTCAGAGCCGAGATATTTATTGGGTGGCAAAGAGCGGGGCTCGCGCGGCTGCAGCCCAAAGCCCCTGCCAGCACGTTACTTAGCCTTCGCAAACATGGTTTTACGGGAGTGTTACAAGAAGGACAGGGTGTGTGCGAACTAGATGGGTTGCAAAACCTGCCTCGAACTCCCTGTAAAGGGAGACTGCAGCGGAAACTTCTCTGCTGATTAACCCTTGAGCTGCCCAGATGGGAGGGCCAGACCGAAAAGGAGCCGAGCAATCCTCTGCTCCAGCCTCTCGATCTGTGTACCTGGTTAACTTCGGGGTTCCCCCCTGCCTTTTTATTTAAGAAAAAAGCAAGCTTTCACCCAATGACCTGGCAGGCTTGGCCCCGGCTGCCTGCAGCATCCACGTGCCAGGGAAGGGACGCCTGTGCCGTGCACACCCACGTGAGCAGGGAGGGACAGGCGGACACGAGTCACCGCTGCTTTGGCTGCGTCACACGGTGAAGGCAGCAGCTCCCGAAGGCAACGCAAACAAGCCCCGTGCACGGTCCCAGGATGGATGGCACCAAGCGTCCCGGGATGGCACAGGCAGCACACGGGTGATGACACACGGGCACGCTGGGGTCCTCTGCAGCTGGGTGCGGGTGTCCCTAGAGCCGGTCCCTGCAGTGCCACGAGCCACTGCCCCTGCCAGCCATGCTCCCCATCGCCTCCCAGGGAAACCAGAAGCACCGAAGCAAAGCCCTAGATGCCCTTCACATACACTTCCACGTGGGACCCCGGACCACCTGCCTCAGCGGGGGCACAAACCTGCACTTAACATTGTGCGACAGCCCCATGACAGGGGGCCTCCCACACTCTCGTCCTCCAAAATGAGCATAAGCTTCTGCTACCAGCGCTGCCACAGTCGCTCCACCACGCAGGAGAGGTGGTCGCACCATCCATTCGTGTCCACGGACCACGGGCACTGCTGGGGAAAGCTCGTCCGTGGTGATAGGAAATGTACCTTGGGCTTCATAAGGGGATGGAAAGGAAACCCAACGCCTGCACGAGCTCTTGGAGAAGCAAAATTTCCTACTGACTTCTCCCTGCCGGTGGGGTTTGTCCCCCTTCCCTCATTCCTCGGCTTATCTCCATCCCGAGGCAGGAGGGGATGCGGGAGGCAGAGGCCAGCTCCGACGCCGGGGCAGGAAAGCGCAGCCCCCCGCGCCCCAGCCGGGCTATCAGGCTACAGGGAAGGAGGATCAGCGCAGGGCTCAGCAACAACGGCCTCCAACCGCCGGGCTCGCTCGAATATTGGAAACACATGTTCGCTGGAGAGAAAGAAAAAAAGCAGCCGAACTTCCACGCAATTGCTGTTAGCCGGCGGGTGAGAGAAACCAGAGCGCACGGCTGGAGAGGCTCTGGCGGGGGACACGGGGACGGGGCTCCGCACCACCCCCCTCCAAAATTTGCAGCCTCCATGCAGGTCAAGCATCTGCAGGATCCAAGCACTGGACGCACTTTTAAGGGTTAAACACCCAAAGCGATGAGAAAAAGCTCGAGCGTAGCAAATGCTGCAAATGCTGCAACGCTCCGACCTGCCAAGGCGGGGTCTGCAGATCAGGGCTGAGATAAGCGGGACCAACAACACTAGACTGGCCTAAAAATGTCATCTCCCTTTAAAATGTTTTCTGCTTTATCGTATTAAACCATAAACGTTTCGTCGGCCCCTCTGCTCCCAATCGACGGCCAGTTACACAAGAAGAGCATAACTGGCCCATGCAGTCATTTTATTCCGGCGAAGGATGCATTTTTGGTCTACCCACTGACAGAAGCAAAACAAAGTCCTTTCTATTGGAATAAATCTCTACATGGGGAAGAGGAAAAGGCTGACATTAATACAGCGCTGGCAGCTTAAGTTTGCTTTTGAAAACAGACCAAAAAAAATCCCCACGCAGACAGAGCCAGAAGTGGAAGGAATTGACACAAATCAAAAGGAAACTTAGGTCTCGTTTTGCATTGTGATACTTTAAGTCACATTTTTCAAGACACTTGAAGTGCCCCAGATTTTCACTTCGGGCTACGTGCCTAGGAAAAAAAATTAAAAAAATAGAACGAGATCTCGGCCTTTGATGCTGTCGCTTGAGAAGTGCCAGAGCCAGGAGAGCTCTGCACTGAATAAACTGCATCCCGCTCGCAGACTCGTCAAACAACCTACAAAATACCCTTAAAGGGTGCGGGTGTTCGCTCCCTTGGTAGCACGAGGACAACCAGCTTCTTCCCTTACAAAGGCAGGGGCACAGCAAAAACAAAAAAAAGTTCTGTTTGCAAAGGCAGCCTTTCCATCCAATTTCAGAGCTCAATGATTGTTTTCCATCCTCGGTCAAGGTGACCAAAGCAAAGCAAGCAGCTAACCAGAGCTCAGGGAGGCTTTAACAGCCCCTCAGAAGCAAACTCCATGTTCTTCCACAGTACAGCAGCTCTGCTGCGTTATTGCAAGGGCTGCAGATGCTACAGCCAGAGGAAAGACAGCTTCACGCTGTCCTCAAGCTCCTCAAGTCCCCAGGAAACACGGGGGGATCCCGAGGAAGACCCCGATGGCTGAGGTGCCCGAGACTGAAGGCAGGAGAGGGAAGGCCCGAGGGTCTGAGCGAGGGCGGCAGGGTACGTACGAGTGGCCGGTGGCTGGGATAAAGTATATACAGCAGTGCACTCGCGTGTCGGGGATCCGCTTCTTCCGGTTAATGTTGATTTCCTCCTGCAGGTACTTCTCGTACTGGTCATTGATGAACTTCATGATGGGCTGCCAGCTACAGAGAGAGAGAAGAACACGGGACGTTGGGTTTGCGTGAGGGATCTGGACCACCCTGAACCTCCCACCTGGCCTGACTGGGCGAAGCAGAGCCTGCTGGGCGGGGGATGCTCAGCACCTTACAGAATCCCATAAAACAAACCAACCAACCAAAGCACACTCACACTGGGAATGCTGTAGCTCCCATCGGCTCCCATTCATACAGCACCACATCATGGCACAGGAGCACGAGCAGCATCAAACCCCAGGAAGCCCAGCCCAGCTCAGACAAGGAGAAGGCACCTGCCATC